TATGCACCAGAAAGCACCTGAAACAGATTGTTAGTGACTTCTCTATAGATTGAGAAGATAGTCACAAGGAGCTTCCCTGCTTCTATTCTTGGATGCCCACCAGGGTTAAGCATAACTAATGCATGAGGCTTGTGCTCTCAGTGCGCTGCACAGCGTGGGATTCTTCGGGAATGTGTTCCTAAGGCTTTTCCATTTCCTCTCTCCTTCCAAGTTCTCCTGRCAGTTTTGAAGAATAGTGGCAAGGCCTGAATCTTTAGTTCATGTTGAGCAGGATTCCTCTCCCCACACGACTTTATAGCCCCATTTAGGTTAACCCATGACCCGTGCTAGAGGAGTGCTCTCTAACACGCCGCAGCACCCTGTGCTGCAGGTGAAAATCTTGATTTAGCGGCCACTCAGCATCACTGCTGCAGCATTGCTGCGTGCCGGCACATGGCAAGAGAACACCCAGCTTTCTATTGCACTGCCACTGGGCTCTGCGGGCGCTGGGTGAGTTCTCCCGGGTCAAACAGGCAGGTTAAAAAGTTTTATTTTCCCACCTGTATGTTCCCCAGTGTCTGTGGGAKGGGTTCCAGTTCCCCAGGGAACTGGATGCAATTTTGCCCGTGTGAGGGTGGTTCATCCACACTGCCCCTCGCGGTGCTGCAGCCTAGCAGGGGGTGCAGAGGGGAGCCGGGCCCCGCACTGCAACGTGGCTCTGTGTGCGAGCCCCCAAAACCCCTGTGCCGCCTGTGCAGGCCAGGCAGGAGCTGCTGAAGCTTCTGCCTTCCTGTTGTAGCTGGTGGAAGCCACTCGTACTCAGGCTTTTGAACCCCTTTGAGTTTTATCTTTGCAGCCTTGACTGGAGAGATGACTTTGTAACAGTATCAGCCTGATGCAGAAAACTCGTGTCAGCAGCAATTGCTCTGCAGGTCTGTCAAGGTTAATCTAGTTTTATTCCAGTTTTGTTCCATCTTATTCATTTTCTTGGTTGACTTGTGATAAAAAAATCCTTTTTGTTTCCTACGTACGGAAATTGTCTTCTCTGTTTCTTCTCTTCCATTTCCTGCATTATCAAGCACCCTTGCAGGCAGTTAGGTTATACTGGCTTACAGAACACTGTTGATAGTTGTATTTTGGGATTTCACTTTATTTTTTTATTAGTTTTCTGACTGTCTTTGCTTCTCAGAAGAGCATTTCAGGAAGGCTCTGGCTTACAGTGGTAAGGAGATGGAGGGGAAGACAAAACTCCTTTCCTTAACCCTGTTGAAAACTGGGAGCTGAATGCTTGCACATTGCTCCTTTTTGGCCTCAAACACATAGCAGTTGGATGAATGAAGGGGTACTCTGTGAGAGCCTGGACYTCTAGGGCATGGTGTATACCAGTGGTATGAAACTAAAATAGTTAAACTGAATAAATGTAAGTTATTTTTACCTCTACTTTAAACATGAAATCAGTAAAAAAGAAGTACTCTGAGTTTGTCGTACCMAATTCTGTCTGGGTAGGAAACTGATATTAATTCTGCCTATGGAGTGAAAACATGATTTGCCCACTGTGTTTGGATGGGCAGGAGTGGAGCAGTGGTTAGTAAGTCCAAAGAAAATGCAGGAGGGTTTTTATTTCTTTTAAAATCTAAAAAATCTGAATTAAATCTAAATCCTCATTATTGGGACATACTATGACTTGTTACTATAACAGCTTGTATGTTGCTTAGAACCTGTTTCCTAACCTGACAATGTCGAGCTGTTTTTATGAGTTCTAATATTTTTCATAGCTGACAAATCATTTCCAAGCTTTTTTCTAGTAAGTGCTTTGAGAAAAAACTGCTTTACTGATATTCTGTACATGTCTACATATTAAAGACTTTATTAGTCAGTTATTTTAATATTAATTAGTTATTTGAAGACAAGCACTGTAAAGTGCTAAAGCTCTTTCTAGGTGCAGAATTATGTACTGGCTTCTAGAGAAACCAGGTAATTTATGGAAAGATCATCATGATCGTGGTCATGATACGAAACACTGAGTCGCAGCTTTCTGCATCTTAACTGAACCATCTCCATACTTTAGTTTTTTCATGCCTTCCTGACACCGTCTTTCTCTGAGAACCACCTTTTTTCCCCCTGTCTTTAAATCAGGAGCTTCCTTTGCATCAAAAAGAAAGTATTCTGAGAGTGATGTTGGTTAGTTTACCTGTGGGATACTGAACATACTATTTTCCTGGGGGAGTATTAGCTTAGCTACCTGAGAAGCTGGAACACTCTGTTTGAAGAGCAGACTCTGTGGCTGTGAATAGCTACATTGATAGACAAGGGGGAGAGAAATAGTAGGGTCTTTTACTGCTGGAGCTCTTTGGTGGTTTGCCATGCTTAATTACCTGCCAGGCCTGCCTCGCATGGCGGGGTGGCAGCCGTGTGGGCTCTGCACAAGAACAACCATTGTCTCTGCAGCTCAAAATAGACCAGGGGCTCAATTTACCACTTGTAACTCGTGAAATGGTAGCTATTTTCAAGGAACTGCTTTTATAATGGCATTTTTCTTCTGTTACAGAGTTTGGTATTAGTAGCATTTCTTGAGGTAAAGTGTAGATCGTGGAAAAGTGAAATACAGAGCATGGAGCCAGCTTTCTGGGCCCCAGCGTGAGCGAGAAGAACTAAAGCACCTTCTCCTTTCCCAATTTCCATCCCAATTAGGTTTCCATGGGCTCTTGGACCTGGCATCATTGCTTTTGTGTGTTAATTATTGTGTGGGATACAGTAATTGTGCCTAATATCTGCACAATATGCATCTGCTTAGCTCTTTATGCTGGAAATGTGCATTTCCAATATTGTGTTGAATTTTATGGCTTCTTTTGAAGGACATAATTTAGAATAGCTTCCTGAAAGAAGTTTTCAAGGAACACATCTTCCATATCACCCTGTATATTGGAAATTACTTTTCACTGAAATGTTCTGCTGACTTTCTTGTCCCACTTCTTCCCCTGAAAGGGAGCAAGAATTTATTTGATACAAGGAATTCCCTTGGAATCCCCAAGGAATAGGACAGCTATGGGAGTGTTTTGTGTGCTTACTGCGTAGTGTTGATTGTACTTAAATTTCTTGTTCATGCACCTTGAACACTGTCCTGCAGCTCAAAGTCCTTCAGATCCCAGAGTTCAAAGTCCTGCGGATTCGGATCCTGAAGACCAATAAACAAATTCAAAGATCATTTTGTTGCTTACATGCCTCAAACCTTTGACTAGCCAAGTAAAAATTGACCCTGTGAGATGTGTCACCCGTTGATTTACTACTTGTGTTGAAAGTCATACAAGATAATAGAAGTGAAGTCTCCCAGTGGCAACAGGTTCTTTATTGCAAATGCATTGGACTCTTGACACTTGTGCTGGGCCACAGGCATCCCCAAGGAAGGGTCAGGAAGGGCAGGGAAACCTGTGGAATCACCAGCTGGTCCCAGTACCAGGTTCTTCTCTGCTCGGCCAGTTGGCAGCGCTGCTGGAGAGACTCTGCGGCCAGCGGCTTTTGGCTGCACGTGGGTTTTAAGGACTAAGAGATGTCTTTGGGCTCACAGGTGTTCTTTGGTGGGCCTTTTTTGATGAAAATGTGCCTCATACAGGCATAGATACCCGTGTTGAGGAACTTCCTAATTGACCCTGTGTTTGTAAATACCTGCCTGTGMTTTTTCATTGTTTGTTCTAGAAATGTGGCTGCCAGGAGCTCGGGATGCTTTCCTAAGGCTTTCATTTTCTTTCAGGTTTCATTCACAAAGGTGTCCTTGAAGACACCCTGAGCATTATGAGTAATGCAGAGTGAGCTGTGTGGAAATTGTGGTTCTTCAGCCTGAACTGTCTTCAGTTTCCCCTAGGTGGATTTTCTAGGATTAGCACTGATCTTTACTTCGAACGTCACTTGTGTTGTGGCAACCTGAGAGCACCTATGAGTGCCTAACTGAGCTTCAGCTGGAGCTGAGTGTTTGGGCTAATAATCCCACAATTTAATGCCCACTAACTGATGGCAAGCATTTCTTTTGGGCTGTCAGTGACTGAACAGTGCGTTTCATCCCTGTTTTATCTGGTGAAGCCTGATTCTGTTTAGTTTCTGCAGAACAGCCCCATTTGTGTATGCCCGAGGATCTAAGTGAATGTATGAATGAGTATACAAATACTACTGAAAGCCTCTTACAGTTCAGAAATAGGATAGGTCCTACAAAATTGAGTTTGATGCTTTTGGTTATATGCTAAAATRAAGCATAGCAACGCCTCTGCTAGTGTCCAGAACTTTTACACTGAGCTTCGTTCAAAACTGCAAAATTAGGGTCAAATTTTGCCATGTAGAACTAAAAGTGTGAAAAAAAAACAAAAGGGAAAATAGTTTGAAAAACTGCATCTGTTGTTTTGTGCAGTTTTACTGCTTGTTTTCATCTGTAAAACCTTCCTGTAATGCAGCTTGTTCAAAGAGATTACTGTAGCTTGAACTTGTTTTTTTTTGTGGTAAAAGAGCTAAAGAGCTTTTTTTTTTTTTTTCCTCCATAAAAAGACTTTTTTACTTTTTTGACAGAAAAATAGTTAAGGCTTATTTGTACAGATACTAGTTGATCAAAGTTAGATAAGTTACCATTTTGTTGGTTAGGATTTGTTAGATTTTCCGTTTGAGAAACTAGAACCAAATATTGCATTTTTAATTCAGCCAAAACTGCATGAAAAACAGTGGCATCTTTTTCTTGAGGTAAAATTGATTTAGATCTGCTGGACACGGTTATTTGTTAGGAAAAATAAGAAAGTGATGCTGTTGCACTAGTTGGAAAGATTAAAGAAAGACCAATTTGTACGAAACTCAGAGGGAAATAGGAAAGCAATGAAAATCTCTCTTTTTTAATGTAACAATTGAGATGTTTTTAGTTAAGAGATGTGGTGAATAGGAATTGCTCAGCTCAAAAGCAGCCTCTTAGGAGGAGAAAACAAAAATAATGTCTTGTGATGGGCTAGTGAATCATTAACTAAAATTCCTTCTTTCCCTTTTGTGCCTAGGAAGTCTGGGAGAAGAATGTTAGGCATGGGTCCCTAGGAGCATATCCTGCCTTCTGATACCTTACGCTGAAGAAAACTGCCCCTTTCAGAGTGAGAGGAAGATAGTGTGAAAGTGAAGAACATCTCCCTTGAAAAGGTAAGGAAGGTTTTCCAGTTTATCCTTTAAGGAGGGATGATGCAGGTGATGTCTTCTTTTAGCCACTCATTACTATGGAAGAAAGAGGAGTGAGAATGTAGGTAACAATTGACTAGTAAAATACTTATTTTAACTTGCACATTATAACTTTTAAATAGGAAAAAAAAAAAAGTACTTTTTCACATTAAAGGAAGAAGGAAGTAATGCATGTGTTAGTGGTGTTAGTGCATTTTAGAACTATTTTTATGTTATTTTACATGAAATAGAAAAGAAACAAAAACTGCTGCGCACAAGAGCGAATACTTTTTTTCAGCTATTGAAGATATTCTTGTCAAATCTTGCCAAGCTTTATGTACTCTCCAGCCTATTAACTTCCTTCGCTTTCCAACACAGATGTATTGCCAGTTTGTAGATTGCTGCTGCTGGGAATTTGTACTAACTAAGTCTCTCATTCAGGCCTTATCAGAACACGTATGTATTGTTTTCCTTGCTGCACCGTTTTTGGTTGAGTGGTCGTTTGTCAGATATTTCCAACAATACTTCCTTGGACACTTGAGTGCTAACAAGTGTTGGAAGAAGCTGAAATCAGCTAAAAGTTCCTGAATTGCAAATGCTTCCTCTGAAAGGCAAAGGACAGCAGCAGAGTATAAACATCTTCCCCCCCCCCCCCCCCCCCAAAAAAAAAAGCCCCCAAAAAAGCAATGCTGGAATTGTGAATGAAAGGCGTGAATGGCCTCCTAGAGCAGCCCTTCAGGAATGTCATGCTGGAACAAGCATGTTCGTCAGTGACTTCACCTGAAGCATCCTGTCCAATTTGAAGATAAGGCAACACAAAAGCTATCAYGAACTTGCTTTGGTTGTAGGTGCAGCTGAAGCACAAATTGTCTTTAGTGTGTTCTARTGTTTAGCTTGTTCAGAGTGTGCTGTCATTCAGTGTGTGGTATCAAGGCACACTGAATTTCTGTAAAACTGGGTTCTGTGTTCATATAATATAGGGTGCTGCTTTTGCGAAAAGGAATTATGCTGCACCTTAAKAAAATTATTCAGTAGCTTGAGGAATCTCTCCAGTCTAACCTCGTTCTGTAAATTAGAAAATTTACAAAGGATCTTACATGAGTAATGACTGTTTTCTGTATGACTGGTGTGTTACATGGGAACAGAAGGAATAAAAGGTAGGTATCATTGACAACTTCTCTCAAATGCTTATTTGAAATAGACTTGCTTGTTGTTAAGACAAAAAACATCTCCTTTTTTCTTTAAATGGTCTTAGTTGGGAAGTTACTTTTTAAGTGCTTAATTGTGAGATGTTACCTGTTAATGCAGGGCGGGATACTGGCTTATTTTTTTCAAAACAGGAAGATGCCAGTTGTGCCACCACYAATGGAAAGTGCTCTGTGAATGCAGGATACTTCCTGACTGCTCTCTCTAACTGCATATTTTCATGACATTTGTSTATAAAGCTTACAGGTTCTGAGCCATCTTCTCTTCCTTTAAATAGACTTAATTTATGCATGCAGCGTGGTAGCTTTTGAAATAGCATTTTTTTTTCTTTGCTTAGGCTCAAYAAATACCTGTAGCTTAAAATACAAATATTCCAAGAGTAGGCTATGGGAGTGGCAAGATACAGTATCATCCCCAGATTGGCTAATATGGCCAAGTTCGTAAGTACAATATTCAAGACATATATTCCTATATGGAATTTGCATATAATTTTTGTTCCAAAAGAATTAAAGMCATTTTTTTTTCTACAGTGTACCCCGTGTTCTTTCATAACCCACCTCCGTATTTCGTTGTTAGAATATGCTGGGTTTTTTTCTGCAGAAAATAGGAGAAAAATATTAAGAAGAAATATTTTGTACGATGACATTTTGCTTTATGCATGTTTCTCTTCATTGTAAATTACTGTGTATGCTATCTAGTTTTTGAACAGTTGCTTTAAGACCACTTCTTTTATTTGTTTTAATATATGTATTTTCAATTTTCTAGGTTTAAATGCCTATCGCCTTAGGCTGATATTTACTGCTTGGTCCTGTCCTGCTGTCGAAAGGCTTCCATTTCCCACCGAGCATGCTTTTTGTTTTCATTGCTCAAATAACTGAGAGAATAGGAAAACCTTTTTTTTTTTTTTTCTGCTTTCCTGGAGTTTCTGATTTCATTTGTATCGTTCCAAGGAGCTTTTTTTCTCTTTGTCCATTAATTTTTTTCCTTCCTTTGCCCCTCTTGCTCTTTATGTTCATCCCGTTCATGTTTCCTGCCATCTCCCAGCCGCATTTGCCGCAGCGGCTTCTGCAGCTCAGCAGGTGCCCCTGGCCACCAGGGCAGGGGGGCTCACGGTGCTTGGTGTCCTGGAGCRCGGCGAGGGGCTCCGTGCTGGCCCCTCACCAGGAGCAGCCATCAGGAAAAAACAGCTGCATTTCTTGCAGCCACATGCAAGGGGTTTCCCCATCTTGCTTTAGATCCAAGCTGTTTATTTCCTCCATAACGAAGGAGGAACAAGCCAAAAGATGAGTTGAGAGCTGCGAYCATGTGAACTGATTTTTATGGCTAGTTAGGACATGGCCTGTTCAACACCATACTGGCTACTGACAGACTGTACTGTAGTCATAGCTTTAAATTTTTACTCTCCCTTCCCTRGGGCTTCCTCCCTCTCTACCTGAATGGTTTTATTATTTGAAATGCAGCTCAGGGTCTTATGCTGCTCCTGAAAAGCTGCCCATACATTTTTCACTATYTTAGCTTTGTGTTTCACTGTAGTCTTTGATCCCGACAACCTTGCCTAAATTGCAATTGAAAGTAGCTCGAATTGACAAAAGGCAGAGCTGTCTTCCAGACATGGTCTTTCTTTAGCTACATCATCTTAATCATTGTGTTGAAAGGGGAGCTAAATTCTCCTGTTGTAGCTGCATGGTGCTTTGCACTGTGGGGTCCTGCCATTTTTGTTGATATAATTCAGGGTAGAACAATATTACATATTGCTGTTTTGTAACTTACTCTTTTTTTGCACATTGCATATGTTACCATCTAAAAATATTGTCTAAAAATAAGACTTGTCCCTCAAAAGGGAATGGTTCTGGAGAAGAAGCAAAAGTATGAAAAAATATCCATCATGTAGGTAGCTATCACTATAAAGGCTCTTTAAGCTTTTAAGTCCTTATTTTAATCTGACTGTATGTTTCACAGAAGGACAAATGCTCTAATTCATGGCTATCTCACTAGATCTGGAAGGTGTAATGTACCATTATGAATAATACCCCTATGTAACATAGGTAATAAAGTATCTCTGTTATTGAGCCTGCTAATTTAGTTCTTTTACTGCCTGTTGAAATTTAAAGCATGGAAGGCATGCAGCTAAAGATGGCAATCTGATGGAAATAATTTTCTGTGAAAATGTTCCCTTGCATTTCCACAGCCTTTAGGTATTTAATACAGAGTTTTGGACTATAATACTGTTAAATGCTATGRTATTCTTTAAAATGGTGTTGATGTATTTGTTTTCACTATATTTGTTTATTGTATTTAAAAGGAATACTGCAAATATTATTAAAAATAACTGTTAGTTGTTTTTGTCATCATAGAAATATAGGCAATAAGATGGAAAACTCATTCTACATAACATGAGTCTTACTGCAGGACTCTGATTTGTTGGAGGTGAGAYTGACAGGTCATTTTGATATGAAATAGCTACAATTTTCATGTATGAAATGTTTAATAGTGTAATGATTCCTCTGCCCTCACCAYAAGGCTGCTGTTGCACAGTTCTGAAGAAGTTAAAGCAAAAGACATCTCACAGCAAGAACAAGTGTTTGGGTTTTTTTTAGTAAGTGAAGCTGAAACTTTTACTTGATTTCATAAACTCAGAGGTTAAATAAATATGSTGTGCTGTACTTCTTGTTTCAGTAACATTTGAAAAAATCCATGGCTGCAGCTGAAAGGGATGCTAACCAAAATGTTCACTCTGAGGTACTGGGTATTGATGGTTCAGGTACTGCAAAAATGGTGTTTTGGTTGCAAGTTAAAGAGACAGAATCCATTTTCATTTTATTTACAGGGGAAGCCTCTTCCTCATTATTTCCTTAGCGCAGGGAATCTATTTATGCCAAATAATCTCTACTCTGGTATAGAAAAACTGCAGAGTTGACYAGGCTAGTCTTGCAGTTCTTTCCTGCTGCAGACAGGTCTCCTACTGTCTTTCTTAGAACTAAGTGTTTTTATTGCTAAGTGTAATTATTTTTATTGCTGAGCAATTTTCAACTTGATTTTAGTATGCTATGAACCAAAGCATCCTAGAAGGTGGCTCCAGGAAGCCATACAGTATTCATTTGATGTTACCTATTCGGTGAAGGACTGCTCCTTTCAGTATGAGCACTTGTCTCCGTGAATGTTCTGGCACTTCATCTGTGTATCCATTTGTTCAATGCATGTGAGAAATTCTTCTTCATCTGGTAACATTTTATCCTATGGAATACCTGTCACCTCCTGTACAGCCCTATTGCTTTCATTCCCTCACAGGCTTATGGCAAAAGTTAAAGTTTAATACTGAAGAATAAAGGAAACTACCTTAAAGATTCAAAAGATAATCATTTTTAGCCACAGACTTACGGGATTTCCTCTGTTAAGCTTAAAGAAGGAAGCTCCCCTAAGGAAATCTTCAGCGATGAAAATGTGGAAAGGAATTTTGAAAAACTAGATTATAAGAAAAAGTTATTTGGRGTTCCAGTTCTGGAAGTTTTACCTTTGCTGAAGTGTTATTAAAAAGTCTCAACCATCTTACCCATTTTTTCTGTCCATGTTCCCAGCTGCTCTGATGGAAACTAGCACCTTCTAAGGAAGCTGGCCCAGTTAACAAGCTAGATAATCTCCTTTAAAAGCTTGTCACAGATGTGTGAAAAGCTCTCATCGTGAGCTGTGGCTATATAATTTCTAGTTCATSCTAGGTACAGAGGAAAAATTATATTGCTTTTGGAACGTTTATACAAAATTGTTAATGGAAAGAGCCTAGG